TGCTACTGCTACTGCTACTGCTACTGCTACTGCTACTGCTACTGCTACTGCTACTGCTACCACTACTACTGCTACTACTACTACTACTGCTACTGCTACTGCCACCACTACTACTACTACTACTACTACTGCTGCTGCTACTACTACTACTGCTGCTACTACTACTACTACCACTATTACCACTACTGCTACTACTGCTACTACTGCTACTACTACTACTACTACTACTACTACTACGGCGACGACAACAACAACTGCTACTACTGCTGCTACTGCTTTTATTACTACGACTACTACTACTACTACCACCACTACTACTACTACTACTACTACGACTACTACGACTACTAGTACTACTACTACAAAAATCAGCAACACCATCCAAAACAGCAGCAATATTAAGACTAGCGGTAGCCGTAGCTACTACTGCTGCTACTGCTACTATTACTACGAATACTACTACTACCACTACTACTAGTACTACTACTGCTACTACTATTACTACTACTATTATTATTACTACTACTGCTACTACTACTACTACTACTACGACGAGGTACGTGCTTTGCGGCCTTGACTTCACGGTGATGCCCGCGAATGCTACCTACGTCCGAACCTCCATCGAGATGCTGGCCGGCGTTCTAGCATCCTCGAGCTTCAATGCAGCCCACATCCAGTTGACAATGCCTCAGAAATCCATCCAAAGCACCACTGTGCTGAAGCACAGGCGCACCGTCGAGGATTTGCTGCTGAAAAGCAAGTTGGTGCCAGAGTTGCGCACCAGCCTTTTGTTCGAGCGCCCGGAGTCATCTCAGAGTGACCGCCGGAGCCTGACACAGACCTGCATCCTGAGCACCTTTCAGAGTTTCAGTGAGCCAGCATTCCTGGCAACCATGCCGGCCCTCGAGGGTCGACTTGGCCCCTTCCCACTCATCAAAGTGGCCAACATGTTGGGCTGTGATGAGGACTCAAGGCCGGGTCCTGGCACTCGGGTTGAACAGTGCCTTGGGCTGAGACCATGCCATATGCAATAATAGCAGAGTTATACCATAGTATTCGTTGTCTCCGTCACAGTCACGCTCAGGAAGGGCGTGCCATTGCATGGGATGGTGTTGGATGCCTTCTTCAACGACTTCGGGCTCCAGGAAGATGATCGGGCTATCTTCTTTGACATGGTGCCGAACAGGCAGGACAGATTCAGCCAGTGCAACTTCAACCCCAAACCCTGAACCTCAAACCCGACAGCCAGTGCCAGGCAGTGTGAGTTTGCAAGGGCGGCCGTGGCGAAGCTGCTGGAAGGCAATGCGGGTCCGCAGGTTTACTATGTGGGCCTCTTCCGACCGGACCAATATGCGGATGTCAAGCCACAGCTCTGTGAGATGATTTACAGGTGGTGGGATGACAGTGCCGACTCCCCGCCCAAAGCTCGACCCGCTGATGCAGCAACGCCTGCATTGCCACCATTGAGCCTGGAGATCCTGGCCGTCGCCGCAGATCACCCAGTCTGGCCTCAGAGCCTGGACTCCAAGTTTGAGGACGGCACGGAGGACGCATGCTGAGTACAGTAACAGCAAGTCATGCAGCCATCACAAGGTGGCAACCACATCTGCACCTGAATCTTTGAGAGTGCACCCCCGGAGCGTTTAAACCCAGATTGTCGCCAGGAGAAGAAGAACTTGATGACTCTGAAGAAAGAATTCCTTGCGAAGTACCCCGCTCCGGATCCAAACGCTGCTGCACCGTCGAGCGGCCGTGGTGCTGGGTCGGGAAACCCGCCTCGGCCTCGGGTGGCGGGCCATTGCGATTTCAGCCGTGATGGGGAGCCCCTGAGCGTCGGCCGAGAGATTCGTTTGCCACCTGTATCCATGTCAAGCATTGCTGTTGAGAAGCTCCTTGGCTGGACATTGAGCTCTCCCGAGATGTCTCTGCTGGAATAGAAACCAGAACCATGTAACGTGTAGTAGATTTTGTAGGTCCATCACCAAGGCTGGGAATGGTGCAAGGAAAAGCCACGAAGCCCGCCATCATCATCGACAGCCACTATCAGGTTTGGTTGGGCAATGTTAATGACACAGAGCTGGACGTGCCGGCGGGAGATTTGTTTGGCTTTGGTACCGGGACCTTCGGAGAGCAGGCCTTGGTGCGATGCTGGACATGTTTAATTTTGTTCCAGATTCAGATAGACAGTGACAGTGATGATGGTGTGTCTTGATAGACAATGCTTGGTAATTTTGTGCGCACGTCCTGCCCTTCAGGAAACGCCGCCCTTGAAAATGGTGGCATACCATGGAGATTGACGTCGGACAAGGACTTCATCTCCATGGACAAGAAGACTCCCGAGCCCTTGTGCCAGGTGCTTCGGAACCAAGCCGTGAACCACGGGCTGGCCAGTGTGGAGGTTGATTGTCACAGCGTGACTCCGCAGGTGGAGCCTGCTGCTGCATGCCTGGCTAGTTGTTCTGCTGGGTTGGTTGCTGCACTAAAGCAAAAGCCCCTTCCGTGGACAGTCCCCAAGCATTCGAGGCTGGCGGTGGCGAGAGTGAGCCGATCTCCTTTCGATTTGATGTGGCACCCTCCGCGAGCTTGAAGACACACCTCTTCAAGCCCCATTCAGTGGAGCCTGCTGATAAAGACAATCTCCGGTCTGGCGCGGTCGGGGCGGTCTTCCACAACCAGTATGCCCGGATCATCAACAACAAACGAGCCCGTGTCGTGTGGGAGGCCTGACAGATTTAATAAGGGACGTGTGGTGTAATGCAGATCGTTCTCTCTCAGCTTGATTTGACAGCTCCAGTGGCCAGGCGAACATTACAAATTCTCCAGCCAAGTTGATGCCAGTGAAGCCAAAGGTATATTTGCTTGCCACGGTGCGCATTGCCGCACAGTCGTGGGTGAATCTGTCACAGTGACAACAATGTCGTTGTGCGAGGCTGCCAGCCCAGCATGAATAAGTAGACACCAGACATTTGACGAACGCCTTCAAGAAGCAGGTGCTACTTTTACTTCACACTTTTGCGAGGCTCATGCCGGCCTGCCAGGCTCAGGGAATGGCACTTGAAACTTCTAGCAGAGAGACCCACTGAGAGCCTTAGAGAAGTAGACCGATCGACGTAATATCCTGTCTGCTGGCATGACAGTTTTTGATGCTGGAGCCATTCCATTGGCCTCCTGATGCTGGCAGTTCGAGACATTGTGATCCTGACAAAATCGTCGTACAAAGCCTCTTGTGATGAGGTGCGGGATCATGGGGTGTGTGTCGCCTGTAGAATGAGCCAGCTATCGTTTCTGCAGCGGGCGGCTGCCCGAGTAATATCTGAGTCTCAGTTCGGGTTGACCGCCGGTTGCTGGTTGATGCTGGTAGGGAATGACAGTCCCCTTACTCAGCATCATTGCTTGCATCGATCATGCCTGGCATATTGGCGCCTGTGACCTCAGTGACAGACAGCTCGGACGAGGACCGTGTTTCAGTGCAAGGCCTTAGGGTGTAGGCTCGGAGGGTATACAGACTGGCAGGATGGCCGGCAAGCTGCTGGTTCTGGAGATCGTGCACCGAAGAGTACACCAATGAAAAGGCCTGCAGCTGCCAAGAAGAAGCCAGCCCAAAAGAAGCAGAAGAAAGATGATGATCAGGATATCCCCGAAGTAGAAGCTTCACAACCGGAAGCCGCCGAAAGTGACAAGGAGTTGAATGACGAGGCCGTGGAGGGTGGAGAATCAGAAGACCAGGAGGAGGATCCTGAAGAACCAGATGCCGAGGAACAGCCGCCCCCGAAGAAGGCTCCAAAGAAGGCTGCTAAGCCAAAGGTTGAGGCAAAGAATCGTGTCACACCAAAGGCTGAGGCAAAGAATCGTGTCACACCAAAGGCTGAGACAAAGAAGCCCGTCACACCAAAGGCTGAGACAAAGAATCCTGTCACACCAAAGGCTGAGACAAGGAAGCCTGCCTTGAAGGCCAAATCAAAGCTTGCCAAGGCTAAGGGAGAACCGAAGCCAGAGGCTGCAGCAACGAATGATCCTGATGTTGCTGAGAATGTGCCAGCTGCAAAAAAGAAGCCCGCTGCCGCAAAGAAAGGGTGCGGAAAGGGAGCAGAAGCAAAGAGAGCAGCGGCCAAGGCGAAGTTGGATCCCAGCGGCCGTTCCTCGTCCAGAATGATTCCGATTGTGTCTCGCTTGTCGTGCCCCTAAGTCCGAAACCACAGACCCTAATCCCTAACACCCTAAACCTTTGAATTGTTCCTCGATGCGATGATTGCTGGAGGCAAAGTGACCAACCCGTACTACTATTCGAACAACAATTCCTATGGAATCAAAGTGGATGAGGCTGAGGCATTCAGAGTTCCACGGCAGACAGAGTCATTCACTGTTACTGTTGCCGTGTCCTTGTCATGTTTTTTAGCTTGTGACAAACCCAACCAAGGTTGGTGGTATGTACCATGACAAGGAGACCAGCTTCGAGATTGCAGAAACTCGGCAGCCTTCCGAATCTGTGCCTGCTCAGCTTGGGTTTGGAGTCTCTCTGAGTCTGTCAGTCTTGTTTTTCGACTCAGAATCTGGCAGCTGCCGAGCTTCGCAAGGGCACATCACTTGCAGAGGTGAAGCTGATGGTAGTCCCTTGGCTTGTTGAAGTGTAGTATGGGTCGTCGACTTGACATGTCCGAGCTTTTCGTTCAGTATTACTGCTGTCAACAGTTGAAGCTTTTTAATAGCTGAGTCGACGATGCTCCAAAGTGCGCTCCAGAAGAAGTTGGATTCGATCCCGAACGAGGCCAAGGCCGCAAATGCCATGGCAGAGCAGCTGACAGAGGAGCAGGCAGAGTGCGTTGATGGCATTGATGGCGAAGGCGCGGAGGAAGAGCCAGATGGGGCTGAGAATGCAGAGGATGCAGCAGATGGCAATGATGATGCTCCTGTTAACTTAGAGTCCGCTGCGTAAGAAAGCAGAGCTGCTGACGGAGCACGGGGAAAACATTGGCACTTCCTATGAAGACAGTATTTGAACGATGAACCTTTATTCCGTGATCCATAATTGATTCAATTGATCGGTCCCTTTGAGAATCATCGGCACATATTAACATTCCGGCATTATGTTGATTGCGTGTCTATCAGTCATGTCATACATTATTGTAGCATTTGGGCAACATGACATGTCTGATTGCTATTAAATTACTGTTATTATCTATGATAGATTCCGGTCCACATAACATTTGGGCAATATTGTTGATTGCATGTATCGGTCATGTCATAGATTCCGACCCACATAACATGTGGGCAATATGTTTTGCATTTATCGGTCATGTCATAGATTCCGGCCCACATAACATTTGGGCAATAATATTGTTACATGTTCGTGAAGCCGAACACTTCGAAAACCTTGATGATGTCGGCGCTTCCTATCAAGGAAGACAATCCATCAAATCGGCGGATTGCTCACCCTAAACCCCTAAAGCCCTCAAACTAAAACCCTAGTGACGTCGGCACTTTCTATCCAGGAACAGGAATCGGCGTCAAAGTTGCGGATTGCTCCATATGATGTCACAAGTTCCAGCCCTAAACCTTAAACCCTGGGCATTTCCTATCAATGATGTCACAACTTCAGTGCCAACAATGCTGCAGCCTTGTCTGCTCGATCTTTCGGCCCTTTCGTGGCTTCCTTTTGCTGCCGGGGCCTTGAGGCTGCCCTGAGTCCGCGACCAGGTCCTCGTCCGGGCCCGTCTTTTTTGCTGTCGCCAGGCATGGAGGAGCCCAAGAAGGAGGAGGAGGAGGTCAAGGCGGAGCCGGTGAAGTTTGTCTACTACGTCGACAACCACCAGGCTGGGGTGGGGGCTGCGGGGGGGCTGGAGACGTGGCTTGTGCTGAGGTTTTCATCGACGTGCTCTGGTGGCGCTGCTTGAGCCCCAAGGAGCCCGGGCCTTGGCGGGCTTCCGGCCAGGATTTCAAGCCGCTCCCGTCGGCTCCCGTTTGAGGCAAGCGATCTTCATCGAAGGCGTCCGGGCGGGTCTGCGTGCCACCCCAGTGCCGGCCAACGACGTCGAGGTCTTGTGAGCCGGGCCGAGGGGTGAGGAAAAGTGCCTTTCTGGGTTTGCGTCGTGTGGCCGGCGTCCCTTCTCGAGCTTCTGCACCCGCTGTTTTTGCTGCAGCCTTTTCTGCTTGAAGTGTGCTTGGGGTGTGGTGTCCTTGGGGCCTCTCGTGCTGCCGGGGCCTGGGTCGAGCTCGTGCTGCCGAGGCCTTGCTTTGCCTGTCTCCTGCCCAGGTCGTGGTCGAGACCTCCACTTTTGCCGGTCCCTCGTCATGTGGTCGGGAGCTCGGGTTTGGCCGTGCTCGCTTTTTGAGGTCTTCTCTGATCCCTTCGGTGGCAGCCGGGCCCCCGGATGTATGCAAGGCTTTGGGTCCCGTTTCCCCTGCTCGTCTCGGAGCTTGAGGTCCCTCATGGAGTCCCTGGCTTTGAGGGAGGAGGCCGAGAGAGCGGAGGAGGGTGCCGGCCTCCCAGCTCTCGCCTTGTGGGGTTTCCTGTGCTTGCTGCCTAGGTCCCAAGTTCAAGATCATTATGGCCAGCTCGATGGAGTCTGACGCCGTTTTTTGGGAGGTGCCCGTGGACCTGGCATGGTGGAATTCTCTGAGTGCTCAGGAGCGTCACCTTTTCGTTGCCGGTGTGCGAGCTGGTTTGAAGGCGGCGTTGGCGTCAGCCCCGGCCACAAGCGCCGCGGGAAGCGCAAGTGCGCGATGAGGGGCCAAAAGACTGCGGCGGCGAGTTGCCACCTCTCGACTCGAGACAGTGCTATGCTAGCTGCTCATTGATTGTTGCAGCACCGTAATGATGTAAACATGTGAAGTTTGTAGAACCCCCGATTCATTTGGAACCCCCAATTACCAGGAAAATTCTTTATCTACGTTCGGGACCGCGTGGAGAAGTTACTCAAGGAGCGGTTGCACCTCCCCGTGGAAGAAACCCTTCACATCGCGCACGTGCTGACCCAAACAGCGAAAGGCTTCCTCATGGGTGCCACCAGCACCGCGAAAGGAGCTTGGAAGGATAACGTGCTTCATGTCCAAGACCCTCGTGGTCTGGGTCGCAGGTTGCACGCCTTCATGCGCTTGGAGTTTCAGGACGGAACCAGGAAGCTGCCGTCGCAGGACTACCATGGGTCCGGGCGCGCGCACTTGCACATGATCGTCTTCGGTGCAGAGGATCTCATTCGCGACCTTCCCATCGACACGACCGTCAGCGCCAGCCTGCCGAACTCTGAAGAAGACGTGGACATGCACGGCTATGTGCTTGGTTCGCAGATCGACCACGAGGGCGACAGCGGCCGCGAGATCTGGGAGGCGCCCACCTGCTTCGATGAGGAAAAGCGGTTCTGGCGACTGGCCCACTCGGAGGAGGACCACAACCGCGGGCTCCGCGCCTACGTCAAGGATGTCTTGGACGCTCTGAAATGTCACCAAGATTTCTTGATTGGCAGCGACAAGGCCGGCATGCTGCGGCAGTACATCACGAAGTACCTCTCAAAATTTTCGGACAGCGCGTCGCAGGACTGGCTCAATGACGACGCCGATGCCACGAGCATCGCCACCACGGTTCTCATGCGATATCATCCGTTGGAGCCGGAGATGACCCTGCAGCTGTTCGGGCAAAAGTTCCGGCAGTGGCACATGACGACCGTGACCGGCGGCAAGCGCGACTTCGTGGTCCCCGTCCCCGACATAGAGGTGCCTCCCAAGGAGATCGTGCTGTACGAAGCCGCGACATGGGCACGCGGAAAGATTTCGCTGCTTGACTTCTTGCGCAAGACCACCGGCGACGGCCAGATCTGCCACTGGCTGAAGAAGCTGCACAAGACCACCCAACCGGACACGCCCTTGCCAGAGTTCGCTGCTGCCTATGAGATGCTAGGTGAGAAAGTGGTCGCAGCCGACATGAACTCGCGGTTCAGCGATAAATTCTACGGCCAGTGGCTCGTCTTGCATTGCCCTTTCACTTCCTTGACGGAATTCGTGGACGAGGATCGGCTGGCAATGGTTCCGTCCGAGCACCGCTATATATGACCATGGCCGTCCTGCGAGGCTATGGGCGCGATCTGCAGGATGTCGAAGAAGAGCTGCGCGTGGAGGGACACAGCAGAGCAGCGACAGAGGGCATCCTCAACATGATCCGCAGCACCCGCACGCTCGTGGCAGACTACTTGTCAGGTCGTCTGCGCGTGGGAGCGGCGCATCCAGCGTCACACAATGAAGTCTGCGCAGGACTCGCGCAGGCGCCGCCAACGGCCGTGCGATACAACCGTCAGCAGGAGCGCTTCAAGGGTCTTCTAGACCGAGCCGTGTCGCGCGCCATGACCTACCGCACAACGGCGGATGAGTGTCAGGCTGATGACCTCAGACAGGAGGCGCATGCGGAGGCGAAGGTGCTGGTATGCATGGGCAAGCCAGGTTCGGGCAAGACTACTGTCTGCCATCGCATGATCGAAGAAATCCTGCCGGAGGGCGGGCGCGTCCTTTTCGCTCTTCCGACCGCGCAGCTCGCCAGTCGCATGAGAGAGCGCTACGGTCGGCGCATCGATGTGGACACTTGTCACGCCGCATTCGGCTTGCACGAGGACGAGGTCGGCTCCCACATGCCGCTGCTCGCGCACTACGACTTGACGGTCGTGGACGAGATTTCGCAGATGGAGGGCCGACACACTGACCGCATCATCCAGCTTTGGGAGATGTCCGACCGCGTGCCCGTTCTGGTCTTCTGCGGAGACAAGTGGCAAATGTCTGGCTTGGGCGACGTGCGGCCCTGGCACACACCCAAGTGGAAATTGGCTACGTTCCGCACAGACTTCCATCAGAGCTTCCGATGCCAGGACCCTGCCTTTGAGAAGCTGCTCAACAAGCTGCGGACGGCCAAGCCCACCGCAGTCACTTTGAAGCTACTGCAGAAGAAGAAGGCGTGGTCGCCTCCGGGCCCTCCGACAGTGCGAGGCGTGCAGCGACTTCTCCATATGCATCCCAACACGACCATTCTGACCTGCACCCGCTTCGGCGCTCAGGCGGTCAACGATTGCGCCCTGGAAGCAATCTTCTCGAGTCAGTCACCGTTGGTCGAACTGCCAGGGGACATGGAAACAAACCCCGATAACTACCTGGATGGCAAACTCAAGCCAGACTCCGAGCTCCGCCCGCTGACTGTCCGCGTCTTCGAAGGAATGCAAATCTACCTGACGAAGAACGTGAGGAAGGACTTGGACTATGTCAATGGCATGCGGGCCACCGTTCTCTCGTACACAGTGGCCTCCAAGGCTGTCCGAGTGAAAACGGCTACCGGTCACATCTTCGACGTCTGGAGGTGGACGGATGTGGGGCACAAGAATCTCTCCTACTACCCCATGAGACCTGGGTATGCCAGCACCATACTGAAGTTCCAGGGGGCAGAGCTAGACCACGTGACGATCTACCTCGATGCGAAGAACATCCCAGGGGCCGCCTACACCGGGTTGAGCCGCGTTCGCCGCATGAGTGACTTTCTTTTGGGCGGAAACCTGGAGGCGTTGCACTTCACGCCGGCCAGGAACTGAACAAGCCCCGTGTCGAGAATGTTCAGTAGCTCGGCTTAGTGTCCCAGCCATGACTCGGCGTGACACGCCATGAGGGGTGCCTTGTTCCGCAATCCATTTCAAGTAGCATCGGGCCCCGGAAACAGATCTGCAGGAATGGGACACAGTTATAAACAGTCGGAATGAACCGGTTGCCTAACTCCCATACTGGGGTTATTGCAGGCATGTTTCCTGGGAAACCAATGGGAAGGAATCAACCCATACACCCCCAGCGGTTTCACGCCTCACCCAATCCGTGCTGTTGCCAAGCATCGGGAAAAGCTTCTGCAACTGCCGCTTGTCGTTTTTCGCGTCTCGCTTCCTGTTCCATGTAAACACACTTAGTACTCGTTGATATGTCCTCGGCGACGACTAGTACTATAGCTGATAATACTTATACTACTTGACACAGTCAACGCTAGAATGCATGCAGGACTGAAGAGTGTTGTCGCGCTTGCGTAAAGGCTTTGGCAGTGCTTTGAATGCAGGTTGTCGTCAGACTCCAAAACCCAACACCCTGACCCCAAAACCCAAAATCCAAAACCCAAAAACCCAAAACCCAAAACCCAGAAGCACCCGACACCCAAAACGCACAATCCAAAACCCAAAAACGCAAAATCCAAAATCCAAAACCCAAAATCCAAAATCCAGAACCCGAAACCCAAAACGCAAAACCCAAAATCCCAAAACCCAAAACCCCAAACCGAAAACGCAAAACCCAAAACGCAAAACCCAAAATCCAGAACACAAAACCCAAAACACAAAACGCAAAATCCAAAATCCAAAACGCAAAATCCAAATTCCAGAACCCAATACCCAAAACGCAAAACCCAAAATCCAAAATCCAAAATCCAAAACCCCAAACCCAAAATCCTGAGGACCAGAAAAGGGTCCCTCCCGAGATTGGCTACGAGCCTATTCTAAAACACACATTTTACAAAAAGAATTCAATGTAGTTCAGGCTTGTTCCTCGATAGAGCTGTGGAAGACCTGTGAGTGGCATAACCTAAAACCCAGCACCCAAAACCCAAAACGCAAAATCCAAGATCCAGAACCCAAAATCCAAAATCCAGAACCCAAAACCCAAAACGCAAAACCCAAAATCTCAAAATCCAAGACCCCAAACCCAAAACAACGCAAAACCCAAAATCCAGAACACAAAATCCAAAACCCAAAACACCAAATCCAAAATCCAAAACACAAAACCCAAAATCCAGAACACAAAATCCAAAACCCAAAACACAAAATCCAAAATCCAAAACGCAAAATCCAAATTCCAGAACCCAAAACCCAAAACGCAAAACCCAAAATCCAAAATCCAAAATCCAAAACCCAAAACCCAAAATCCAGAGGATCAGAAAAGGGTTCCTCTAGAGATTGTTACGAGCCTAGCAGGCCACTTAGAACCCAAAACGCAAAACCAAAAACCCAAAACGCAAAACCCAAAATCCAAACCCAAAACACAAAACCCAAACCCAGAACGCAAAACCCAGAACGCAAAACCCAAAATCCTGAGGAGGAGCTGTCCAATTTGGTTAAAAGTAGGGGCGGCCGGGTCTAACCGGGAGTCCTCCGAAAAATAACCGGGAGTCTGAAAAAGCATAAAAGCAAGCTCTTAAATCGTGTTAAGTTATGAGCCGTATCTGCTGTCAAGCTGGATTGTGAGCCATTGTTGTTTTACTGCTTGACATGAGGCTGACACCATGGAGCGGCCTTATGCTTGACGATTTCGTTTCCTATCCTATTGATATCATGACATGTATGCATCACATGTCCTAGCCTAGCGTATCTCATTTACATGCAACACAAAAAAACATGTCGAAGTCATGTGTGACAAATGATTTATAATATCCTGTGCGTGATATCTTGTCACTCGTAACTTTTTTTCTACACTTATTTTCGACGTCATGCCTGTTGAGATGTTCTGTTTGGAAACCCTTTTCCTATTTGAAGTTATCGTAAACGAAAACAGTGGTGCTGGTTCTTCCATGTGATCTTTCCGCCCTAAACAAACCAAGAACACCAGACAAGGCATGAGGAAATCAGAGAAAGATAAGAGGGATAGAGAACAGGGGATCAGAGAAAGCAGCACAAGCGGCACCCCTGGCCGCTGGCGGCATTTGTCGCCTTACCTTGAGCGGCACCCCTTGCCGCTGGCGGCTCGTTCCGCCACCCTCAAACACAGGCGGTCGACTCGCCATTGGCATCGGAGAAAGTCGTGCTCTTGGTCAGAGGCAATGGTAGGATCCATTCGGAGCTTCGTTGTTGATTGCGATGCGGCTGTCGAAGCGTGCAGGATTCCGTGGCACTGGTCCCCTGCGACGGCTGGGAGCTGAGCCTTTGCTCGAGTTTGGAGTCACGCCTCGATTTGCATGCCCATGTCCGCCTGCGACCGGAACCCAGCATGCTGACGTTCCCGAACACCTGCATTTTCAACTCCTATACCTGGAGATAAGGTTCGGGAATTGTGAAGATCTACGGCTTGGCTTGCAACTCAGCTTGCACCGCTTTGCCTCGCTTGGCCTTGCTCTCATGACACGACTTCATTGGCGTTGAACAATTGTTTTTTTTTTGCAATTTGAAATTGTCTCAAGGGAACCCTCACTGTACCTGGACCTGTAGTGCACACCTGAAACCATGTGGCATGGGCGTACATGTTTGGCTGCATAAAATCGTCCAAGTTAGCACCGAAACCTGTGACCTTGCAGCAAGCTGTCAATAGCATGACATGTGCACATAGGTTGGGCGAAAGTTCAGCCCGCCGTGTAGTTGATTGACTGACCAATGGGGCCTCGGACACGCTCACGCTCCTCGAGAAGGGATCGCCGACGCTCAAGCTCGACAAGTGATCGCCGAGACTCGAGAAGGGATCGCCGACGCTCGACAACAAGCTCACGCTCGAGAAAGGATCGCCGACGCTCGAGAAGGGATCGCCGACGCTCGAGAAGGGATCGCCGACGCTCGAGAAGGGATGGGCGCCGACGCTCGAGAAGGGATGGGCGCCGACGCTCGAGAAGGGATCGGCGCCAATCCAGGTCGAGCAGCAGCGGTTCTGCTGCTTCCGAAGATGAAAGGGCTCCACCGGCTCCACGAAGTCCGCCTTCAATATCCGAGCTTGCGGACGAGGTGGTTGGCAGGTTTCAAAATGACCATGTCTTCAGTCGGTAAATAACAAATGATCAAACATACGGTTCTGTATCTAACAAGGATCATGGATGCTAAGTCCAGCTGCAAATTGTCACACCCGGACCCTTGAAGGACCTGAAAAAACTTTTCGACGTCGCCCGAGAGTTTCTGGAAGCTGCTCGATCACATGAGGCGAGGCGATCTGAAAGCCCGTGAGTACTGTAACAATAGCCAGCCAAAGCACCCCGGAAAACCAACCACGAAACTCGCTCAATCAGCTGATCGACCAAATGAGGCGAGGCGATCTAAAAGCCCGTGAGTAGCAATAGCCAGCACCCCGAAAAAACAAGCAACAGCACCTTAACCTCTCGACAGGCCAAGCTGGAAGTCGAGGCAGCCGAAGCTGCAGCCGCTGGACCAACGGAGGCGAGGCGATCTGAAAGCCCGTGAGTAGCAATAGCCAGCCAAAGCACCCAAAAAAAACAAGCCAGAGCACCTTAACCTCTCCTGAATTTTAAGCCATCAGTGCCCTGCATCTGAAGCCGCCTTGCTTTGCATCTGACAGGGGCCTATGGTGTGCAGTCCGACGAGCCCTGCTGGCGGGGAGTGTGAGATGGAGGCCGAGCGCAATAGTCCGCAGCACATTCACAGGAAGTGTACACTTGCTGATAACTATATTGAATTCTTGCTGCAATGTCGTAACTGTCTGCGACCTTCGACAAAGGATGAAAAGGAGAGCAGCGAGGTGCCAACGTCGGGCTTCAACGGCGTGGAGCCAGAGTCTACCTTCCATCGGATGAAGGATGAGACCGAGGTGCTTTGAACACATCATAACCGGGTACAGAGATCATATAATTACTGTACAACGTGCATAGTAGGCTAACAGTTGGTCTGGCAGGTGAGAATACCGCCCACCCAAAGACGATGGCGCTTCTGGACAGTGAAGAAGACTGGAAATCAACTGCTCTGGAAGGCGAAGGAGGAGATTCTTACAGTGGAGGAACCTCCAAAGATTCCACCAGAAGTGGAAGAATCTCCGAAGATTCCTCCGGAAGTGCAGGACCTGCATGTATTGATCTCAAATCATGATCAGATTTCTTGTTTTGTGAAACAGGAGCAGAAGCCAAGCCCCCCCCAGGAAGGCGAAGACACCGAAGAAGTTTTTGATGAAGAAGTTCGGCCCGGCATGCAAGCCCCTCCGGAAGTGCAGGACCCGCATGTATTGAGCCCAAATCATGATCAGATTTCTTATTTTGTCAAACAGGATCAGAAGCCGAGCCCCCCCCAGGGGGGCGAAGACGCCGAAGAAATTTTTGAAGAAGAGGTTCGGCCCGGCATGCAAGCCCCCAAACCCTAAACCCTGAACCCCTAAACCCTAAACCCTTTGAAATCCTTTACAACCCTAAAACCTTTTGCCACAACATTGGAGGAGGAAGAGGAGGGGCAGGAGGGACCCCAATTCGGGCCCCTCCTGTCGAATCGCCGGCGGACTTTGGAGCAGACCGGGAAGAAGCGCCGGCGAGGTGGGCGCAACTGGGGAAAACCCTGGTGGTCCGCGACCGGAAAAAGTTTCGTGCTTAACGTGCAAAGGTTTCGTGCTTTGGGTTTTAGGGTTTAGGGTTAGGGGGACCCTTGGGGATATAGACCCTCTCAATAAGCTCCTTTCTTAAGAGAGCCACAATAAGGGTTCAGAAGGGGTACCCTTTAAGGTATACGTTACTCTTAGGAATTGAGGCTATCGGGCTTCCAACTTGTTGGGTTTACTATTCTTCATAATACTGCCTGCTGCAGCCACAGACTCCTCACTTTGCATTACGTGTCATGTTCTGCTTCCGAGGCCAAAC